CCCTAAGCCCCAAACCCTTAACCCGAAATTCCTGAGTTGCAGGTGCATCAGTTCAGGATGATCGAGCGCCACTATTTCAGGTCTTGCCTGCGTTGTTTGTTCTCTTATAGGGTTTAGGTTTAGGGTTTCGGGTTTAGGCTTTAGGGTTAGGGTTTCGGGCTCAGGCTTTAGGGTTAGGGTTTCGGGTTTAGGCTTTAGGGTTAGGGTTTCGGGTTCAGAGTTCAGGGTTAGGATTTCGGGTTTAGGGTTTAGGGCCCGAAGAATTTGGGGATTGTCCAGGGAGTATAGGGCTTAGAACAAAATTCTTGAGAATCGTGTCCTGGGGGTTTTCTGGTCTGTAGAGCCATACAAGGATATTTGGGAGGTAATCTTCCGACATCTTCCTGATGATTTCTCTGGTGCTTTGAAGAGGGGTTAGTTTAGGGGTGCTTTACCAAGGGGAAGGAGATTGGGCTCGGGGGTTCACACTAAACCCTAAGCCCAAAACCTTGACCGATTAAGGTTTCAGGGCAGGAGGAATGAAGAAGGTCTGAGCCCCTACTTGGAGGGCTTAGGGTCTAGTGCTTGGGGAATTCATAAGTAGGCAACTTTTGGGGGGATAGCTGGGGTTATTCCGCGGCTTGCAGAGTATATCTTATTTTGGGTTGCCGGTATACCTTAAATCCTAAAACCTTAAATCCTAAACCCTAAATCCCTACATCCTAAACCCTAAACCCATAAATCCTAAACCCTAAACCCGAAACCCTAAGCCCTAAACCCTGAACCCTTACTGAGCTGCCTGGCCCTCCAAGTCACTAGTTGGAGGGAGGGGGGGGGTTCTGCGAGATTGGGGGTTCAGGGCCCGAAAGCATGTGGGCTATAGTCTAGACTCCCTATCACGGGGGTTGTATAGGGAAGTATTTATTGTAAAACCTCCTTTATTTAGGGTTTAGGGCTTGCACTCCCTTAAGGGGGTTTATATAGAGAAGTATATATTACATAACCTCCTGTATTTAGGTTTTAGGGTGTAGGGTCTACACTCCCAACGAGGGGGGTTATATAGGGAAGTATATAACCCCATCTATTTAGGGCTTAGGGTTTAGGAGTTAAACTCCTTAAGGAAGGGGTAATAGAGGGAATTATATTGCCCCTTTCGTTGGGATATCAGGCTTAGGGCTTAAATTCCGTTATATAGGGAAATATATAGGGGACTATTATGCGGGATATAAAGGGGGATACTAGGAGTTTAGACCATGGCTGGTGTGTCAGGCCCAGCTTTTACACTCTGGGAACAAGGGACCATGCATCCAGAACTCGGACTTTGATTTTTCAGCGTTCAAAACCCTAAACCCTAAACCTTACTTGGAGGCCCACGGAACTTAGTAACTACGTATAACTGGGATTATAACCCTATACTTATAACTGGGGTAACCGTTATAAGCCCTTTTAGGGGGATTATAAATAGGGTTACAAGCCCAATTATAAGTAGTTACTAAGTCCCATGGGCCTCCAAGTAAGGTGAGCGCGAATAGAAAGCCGTGGTCTTGCTCAAGTAGGCAGTAGCACACTCTCTGACATAGAAAGCCCTCACAAAACCTTAGTCCGTTCGAAAGGGGGGCTTTTCCATGTTAGTTTTGGGAGGGTGGTATCTGACTATTCCGAGTCCTTTAGTTCGTACTTTTAACTTTTAACCCTTCATCACTGCGCCTTGAATTGCTGTAAAGGGTTTTCAAGGTTCCAACCCGAAACCCAACGCCCTCAGCCTTAAACCCGAAGCCCGACACCCTCAGCCCTACACCAGAAACCCTGAACCTGAAACGCTAAACCCCTGTACCCTGATTACGGATCCCGGGGCCAGGGACCAGCTGATTACGAGCTACGACTTCACAATGCCGTTCGCAGGGAGCTTGGTTAATCTGCAGTTAGGATACTCTCCCTCGACCATTTACATACTTCATATTCAGTGCTAGATACCATATATGGTAAACAAATTACTTCATACCGAATACTGGTGACTACATTTTCTGGACGCTCCAGTCTACTTCTTCGTGTATTGTATACTGTAGTACATTAATGCGGTATTTAACATTGGCGTGGGAGGGGTTCTTAAAAAATCTGAAGAAACAACACATGGGTTGTTCGCAAAATTAGGGGCCCCTTTTGGTTATACACTGTATTACGGCACCTAATATTTAGGGGTACCAAAATGGCGAGCCTAATTTTGGGAACAACCCACATATTATACGTACCCTCAAAGGATCCATACGTTGGAGAAATCCTTGAACCTTCAAGTGCCCTTCAAGCTGGCCATATACCGCACCTCCCACGGTAAGTGTTGTAGGAGCCTCGCAATAGCGCTTTGCAAGTTGGATGCTCCCGCCACTCACTCCAAGTTGATAATAACGATCGTGTAGGGTTTAGGGTTTAGAGTTTAGGGTTTAGAGTTTAGAGTTTGGGTTCCTGCGCAGCTCTCAGTCCTTCATACCCTGGGAATTATGGTAGCTTAGCATGCTGGTGTCAGCCCACTATTACCCCCCCCCCCCTTCACTGGGTGGGGGCAGTACCCAAGCCCAGAAACCTAAACCCTTCAAACACCCTAAACCCTAAACCCTAAACCCTAAATCCTAAACCCCAAACCCTAAAACCCTAAAACTCCGCACAATCTTGAACGCACCATTCCTTTGGACTGACAGACGTACAGGAGGTCTTCCTAAGAACGAAAAAGAAAATGGAAACTACCCTGCGTATCATGTCTTTACTGGTGGTTAGCAGGGAATAAGCGAATAGATTCTATATAATCCCCATAGAATATATTCCCTGATTCCCTACTGACCCCAGTAAGCTTAGGGACTTTTGGTTTGAGGGTTAGGGCTCAGGGCGTTCAGGGGTTTAGGGCTAAGGGTTTAGGCTCTGGGGCTTTTCGAACATGATTGATGGCTCGAGCCACGCAGTTTTAGGGTTTAGGCATTACCTAAACCCCAATAGTATGTGAAATAAAGCATATTGTGACAACCAGCCAAACTTCCCTAAACCTTAAACACTACCTACCTAAACCCCAAAAGTATGTGAAATAATAGCCCTAAACCCCCTAATAATAGGCATAAAGGCCATTATTTCACATACTTTTGGTCCAGGTAGGGTATACAGGATTTAGGGTTTAGTGTTCGGGGAAGCAACTTATGGACTATGCGGAGGCCTCAGAATTCAAATTCTGGGAAATTGCAAGTTAGCTCCTGGCATCCAATCTTGTTGACCTGTAGATTTTGCTCAAGGATAAGTGGGACCAAATCTGCAGCTGTGTACCCAAAGGCTCTGTGTAGCTATATGTAGTATGTACTTGGGCCTCAAAGTCAGTATATAGGAAACCCCTTGGGCTCTAAGTATATACTCTATATTTCTACATGGACCCTTTGGGGTAGTAGGGCTACTTGCTGTTCACTCGCTAGTCCTCAATAATGGTGATGGTTTGTTTCTGTACTTACTACTCCTACTATGCTCCCTCATGGAACATCGAGGACTATACCCTAAACCCTAAACCCTATTGCTTTAGCGTAAACATGTAGCATGGGAAGTTGGCTGCCCCAGCAAGGGGATAGCGTAGAGGCGCCTAGAGTGATGTGATGGACCCGAACCCCTGGATGGCACAGATCCAGAAACCAGGATGTCCGTGTTTGTGTGGTGGAGAGTAAGCTCGAACCCCCAAAGCCGAAATAGCAGTTTCCATTTTACATGTTGCCGTTTAGGTTCTCAATTATTGGTAATTAATCGTTTTAGCCCCTAAATAGTCGTCTTTGCCATATTCCGTCGCTGAGCTCAGCCTTACATCGTTGAGCAAGCAATGTGACAACCAGACAAAGTTCCCTAAACCTTAAACCCTACCTAAACCCCAAAAGTATGTAAAATAATAGCCCTAAACCCCTAATGATAGCCATAAAGGCCATGATTTTACATACTTTGGGGGTCCAGGTAAACCCAAAATCGGCTTTAGGGGCAAGACCCAACCTGGACCTCCGAAATCACCCACAAGTCACGTGGAGGGTCATGGGGAGTTAGCAAGTAGGTTACTTACAGGGAGAACTGGGGTTGTTATATGGCTTATAGGGGTTATTAATCTACTTACTTAGTCCCCATGACCCCATGAGTATTTGAAGGGGTATGTGGGAGGTCCAGCAAAACCCTAAACCCTAAACCCTAAACCCAAGGCCCGAGATGAAACTGGAAAGCTTTCTCCAATGTGGCTGAGTGGGTATGATCAGGCGAGCAGTAGGAACACCTGTAGGGACCCTGACTTTGCAGCCTAAACGTGCTGGGGCTTAGTAGGGAATAAGGGGATATGTTATATAGGTGTTATATAGGCGGTATGCAGGGATTTCATTTCTCAGTCCCTACTTACTAACCACCAGCACGTAAACCCTACACACTAGGTGTCCCTGATAGGGCTTATGAAGAGATCTTGAGAAACGTCCACTTCATGAGGTCATGCCGAACAGCAGGAACACCTGGGAAATGATCTACACGTGCCGGACTCGGAGTTGTTCCAAAATTATGTAAACTTCAGCCGGGATCCCCATGGTCCTCTTATCACAGTTGTATAGCTTATCCCAAGTATTCCTTTTCCGCGGAACTCCTACGTGAGCGTGACGGACCGGCCGTTTCTTGCCACAGACATTTGTGGATGGAGCACAGGTTCGCATGCTAGCAAGCTTTGCCTGAACAGCTTTTTCACCCACAGGCTTGTCAAATGAGCTATAGTCTAAACTCCTTAAAGGGGAATATATAGGGGATTATATAGGGAATTACTATAGGGCTGATTAAGGGGGATACTAGGAGTTTAAACAGTAGCTCAAATGTTCACCCTAAAGGTTAAAACTTAAACCCTCTTTGCCCATTGTTCTGTTACTATCCTTGATGTTTTGCAAGATGGGGTTCCAGCTAAAGTGTTTGTCTTTTTCCTGAGGTATCGGCATTACCTTCGTAAAGTTAAGAGTTTTTTCCGGTAGCGGATATGGCAGTATACCCCCCACATCCCTGATTTCTTGGACATGGCCAACACGCACCGCACTCTCGGGGACAGACACCCAGGCCACAGGTCAGCGGACCAGACGGGGGTGTGCCTCTGAATGCCTTCCTGACCCTCCTTAAACCCTTGATAAACTGTCTAGGAGTCCATGAGAAAGCATCTTTAACCTTTTGTAAACCTTCTTTAAACTTCGTGAACCCCCTGTAGATTTTCTTCAAGCCTCATAAACCTTTGTAAGCCTTCTATGAACCTTTCATCAACCCTCTATAAGCACCATGATTTATGTAAGCCTCTGGTAACTTGAATGAACATGTATACGCCCTTTCGAAAACATCTTGAAACCTGTTATAAGCTCCTTATAAGACCTATGAACCTCTGTAAGCCTTCTATCAACCTTTGATCAAGATTGTAAACACTCTATACTACCTAAACCCCAAAAGTATGTAAGATAATAGCCCTAAACCCCTACTAATAGCCATAAAGGCCATTATTTTACATACTTTTGGGGGTCCAGGTAAGCCTAGTTGAAACCACAAGACCCAGGCCACAGGACTGGGGGCGGTAAGTGGGTGGGTAGTAGGTTAGTCAGAGCCTATATGAGCTATAGTCTAAACTCCTTAAAGGGGGTTATATGGGGGATTATATAGGGTTTAGGGTTTAGATGGGTTTNNTTTAGACTATAGCTCATATCATTGACCATTGTAGGGAGAAGGAGGGGAGGAAGGGAGAGGGTGGGCCATGAATGCTGACGCGTACATATGGCATAAGGATGACTCAGGATCATTATTGGTTTCTATAAAGTTTTATAACCCATTCTTCAGATTCCGAGGCAGCCCTGCCTTAACACCCCAAGCCCTGAAACATCAAGACCTGAACTTGCATCCTAAAACCAGCCCCACAAACCCCCGCCTTGAAGCTTCAAGCCTGAACCCCCAAACCAAGGTCCCAAAGGCTTGCTCCAAGAGACCCTGGAGCTTGCAATATAGCATACCTCCATACTCGCGCCATGCGGTGGACGGAGGAAATCTGGCACCGCCCCTATGTTAACAAACAACATGCGCAACCACAAGAGCCCCACACCTCCTTCAACGTCGTGACGGACACAGGTGGAGGTGATGCAAGATTTTGCTCTTTTGTCCTGGCTGCCTTCGTGCGAGCTCACTACCAATACCAGAAAAGGGGGTTGAGGGGCATGAGGAACAGGTCAGGTGGGGCCAGATTCCCTCTATTTACAGCAAGAATCCTAACAGAAGCCTGCATAACACCTCCTAAAGCCTGAAACCCTTGCTAAGGCCAGAGTCCCTGAACGTATGAGTTGCAGCCTCAACTCCTAGTATTCCCCTTAAGAAACCCTATAATACTCTCCGAATCCCCTATGTAACCCCCCTTTGCGGAGTTAAGACCCTAAACCCCAAACCCGGAACCCTATATAATCCTCTATAGAACCCGCCGTTGAAGGAGTCTAGACCCTAAACCCTAAACCCTATGCGTGCCAAGGAAGCCCCTCCTCTCCGAGGAGTGGAAAGAGGCGCTAAGGCCGGGACTGGGAATGGCGGTTTACGGTTTAGGGTTGAGGCTTTGCCGTGAGATGGCACTGAGATAGTCATGCCGCAGAGTCGCCTCGAGCGTGTGCCATGCGGCATACTGCTTTGGCCTGACTGTGGAAGGCCATCTAACACATTCACCCACCTAAAGCCGTCCCAGGCGGCCAAACCACCCGAACCTGTTCCTATTCGGGTTGAGGACCTAAACTCAGTTAGGTCCATCTTGGTCAACAACACCACGCTTTTCTGTAGCCAAGCTTCTGGTTTCTGAAAGGATTGGGGAGACTCTAGAAATTTGCTCCTGAAATCAGACCTGACTGAGGTTAGCGTTTTGGGAAGTCTTGAGATCTTTGTTGAGAGGCCCCTAACCTGTGGGAAGTTCTGAGACTTCTGGAGAGTTTTGTAGGAAGGCAGCCGTGGGTGGAGGGTTCTGGCCCCCGACAGAAGAGGCAACCGACCCCTGAGGCCCCTGGAGCTCTTGGGGCCTGGCAACATGGGACATCTGGGAGGCTTCTGGGAGTGTCGGCCTGGGCCATCAATGTCAAGGGGGCATAGGCGCCGCCCACCATCGTAGTGGGCGGCCGAAGCCATGAGTTTAGGGTTTAGGTTTTAGGGTTCAGGGTTCCGGGTTTAGGGCTTACGGTTTTAGAAACTTTCGGGAAGGGAAACCCCAAAGCCTAAACCCAAAGCCTTAAGCCCTGAGCTCTAAACCCTCAACCCTAAACCGTATATAGCCCATTAGTAGTTGCCATTATCTTTTTCATTATCCCCTATATAACCCCAAAGGCCTCAAGCCTACCTTCACTAACCCAAAGTGCAGGAGTGCTCCTTGGGAGGCGAGATCGGACAGCAACTTCACCTGCACAAGCAGCAGTTTTTAGGGTTCAGGATGTGGGGTTTAGGGTTGTGGGCTCTAGGGCTTAGAGTTTCCGTGAATTAGGGGTACCTTTTTTGGGCGTCCCCCTTTTAGGGAAACTACCATGTAGGTCAGAGTTGAGGATTCAGGCTGCAGGAGTCAGGGTCCAGGATGCAGGTTTTAGGTTTGTTTGGCTGGGGGCTTGAGGATTTAGGACTAGGAAAAGTAGCACTTGGAGGGGCACGAATGATCACAAGCTGGCGGGTGGCTGATTGCGAGTTTGAAGAATTAGATGGGACAACCTAAGCCCTAAACCGTAAGCTCCAAACCCTATGCATCTGTAGTTGGTTGGTAGCCTTGAGCTGTCAAATAAAGAGCTCACCGAATGTTAAATGCGCGGCAAGAGGAGAAGCCGCAGGAGTGGTAGCAGGGTCCTAAGAAGTTGATGTTACCTCCGTATCAACACGGTTTAGGGTTAGGGTTTTCGTTTTGGTGTGAAGGTTCCCCTGTCAGTATCAGGGTCCAAGACACAATCATCATTGCATGCCTAGTTTTCCTTGGCGTCCGTTGCTGAGGCTTCTATTTCGTCCAGGACCAGCTGATCATGCACAACAGAGCGGAGTACAACTACTCGTGACTTGGCATTTGGCTAGTTCAGGGTTTAGGGCTTAGATTGTGCAGGCTGCCTGCAGCATCCAAGCTTCAACACGACAACTAAACCTTTGGATCCACAGACCCACTTGTTGGGTTCGGGCCTTATCTTTATTGAACATTGGGCTCTGTGTATATTTTCTGTCACATCAAATCAAAAACGGGGATGCGCATGTCTATAGGAATCGATTCCATCGCTACAGTGGGTTGTTCTACCCGTTATTCGGAGGCCCATGGGACTTAGTAACTACATATAGCTGGCCTTATAACCCTGGTTAGAATCCCCCTAAATGGACTTATAGGAGTTTCCCCAATTATAAGTAGGGTCTTAAGCCCAGTTATGAGTGGTTACCATGTCCCATAAACTTCCAAGTCGTTTCCGCTAAAAATCGACATTGTTAGAGCTACAAGGTACAGATGGCGCCATGAGGATCCCTTTTTAGATATTTGGGGTTGTCAACAAATTTCTTTTCTCTGCACGCCAAAGATAAGCGGCGATACTATGCGAGGGGCCCCAAAGAGATAACGATTTTGGACCATCTATCCAGACCTGTCATAAGAACTTGGTTTCCATCTAATTTCCTATTTGGTTTTGCACGTGATTCTGCGTTATGGTAGCTTAACCCTAGACCATATATATATATAACCTCTAAATAACCGCTGTTTCCATTTTGTTTGCTCTTCGATTGTCCAAATGGTTTCCATCATGGTAACTTAGCCTAGCCCCCACCTTCCATTTCATTTCCATTTGGTTCTCCATCGTGCTAACTGAACTCGTAACTCTAAGCCTCAAGTACTATGCATTATGGGGGTACTAGTCCCCTTCAGCAATTCCCACCATGTAAACCCTAAGCCCTGGTGACGAAGCAGCGGGCACTTTTGAAGAGAAGACGTCCTGTAATCTCTAAGCGTCTTTACGCCCCTACTTTCAGGTCCCATGGGTAGGGGGTTTAGGGTTTAGGTGTTTAGGGTCTCGGATTTAGGGTTAAAACTTGAAGGCCCCATGGGTAATTTGAACTTCTACGTGTACTCAGCATAGGGTCTAGAATTCAGCGTGTACGGGTAGATACCTCTCAGTGGGTGGGGTTTAGGGGTAGATACTTGGAGGTCGAATGAATCAAATGGAGTATCAGCTGGAAATCAAATTGACACTAACATGGGAAAAGGTGGGGGAGGGCAGGGATTACTGTAGCAGATATGACCTACATATACAGGTAGTTTTCTTTCCATATTAGGGGTATTAGGGGTCTTGTCGTTGGTGTATATACGAGCGCATGTAGACGTAGCTTATGATGGCCCAAACTCCGTACACCAAATCAGCTAAATCCTCATCATCGTTATTCAGTGGTAAATGAGGTGAAGGAGTATGCTGAGCTTTCGTCGTGTTGACATATCTAGGCAGTGGTGTTTTTAGTAAGCCACCTCACCCTAAACCTTGAAACCGCAGACCCTAAACCCTAAACCCTAGATTCAACACGTCCTCTCAATGCCTCGAAGCCCAAGTTTTGCAGCAATCTGGTGACCCGCAGATACGCAGCATTGCCAAGATTATCAGAAGGATAATCCATCCCTGAAGTGGTAGTTCCATGGATAGGGGACCCCATTTACATCCCAAATTACGATAGTCCTTAGTATAGAGACCCCCAGAATGGTATGTATCCCTTTTTTTCTGGAAACCCTAAGCCCTAAACCCTGTATCCTCATAGACCCCTATGTAACCTTTATAAACCCCCGTATGGGGAAGACCAAAATGGGACCCCTAATTTTAGAACCTCCTTAAGTGTTCATGGGCCCCCGTTCTTACGATCCTGCATCCCTTACGGGCCAAGCTTGTAGCACCAAGGTCTTGAACTAAGTGACCGCCCTAAACAGGTGTGGGGTTTTAGGGCTTTAGGGCTTTGTCTAGGGTTGAGGGTTTAGAGCTTTAGGATTTTGGATTTTAGGGTTTAAGCTTTCGGGGGCCACCTGCCCTGAACATACTTCCTGCCCTTTAAGCTCTGGACCCTAGCCCCAAAGCCCTGTACCGTACATCCTGAACCCAAGCAAACCTGCCTACATACATATACCTCTACACTATGTGTATATATATACTCACATATATCTTATTGCAATATGTACACTTTAAAAGATATCTGTGCGTACGTATGTATATACACATAGCAAAATAGATAACTAGAAGCCCCTCCACCTGCCGCCCCAGGCCTTTTTGAAGTCCTTACCAGGCCGCAGGTTTCTCTGCAAGGTATTGAGTTTTGGCTGGTTGGTTCAGTAAGGATGGTTGGAATTTAGGGTTTAGAGTTTAGGGTTTAGGGTTGGGGGCGCGTGTTGGCCTTCCCTATCATAAAGGATAGTCGTATATGGGGCCTATATCAGGCTCCAAGACCACTTGGGCTAAATTATTGAAGGCTTTTAAGACAAGGACCGTCCCATATTTTACATGCACTATAGCGGAACTGTTGCTTTTCGTTGGGCTCTGCTCGTTTTCAGGATTGATAACTTGAGGCGTGGGGCAAGAGGAGACTCCAAATGTGTAAGTTGTCTTCTAAATTCCTACTGGCCTATTGGGCTGATACGATGGATCAACAGTGTCATGGGGTGGGGGTGGTGGGGGGGTGGTGGGGG